AAATCCCCAGCATTTACCTTGTTGGTAAAATTATATCCTTTCTACCAGCCACACGCGCGTTTGGATAATCCAGATTGTACCAATTTAATATTTTTTAATTGAATAGTGATTATCTATAAACTAAGTAAGAGTGATATGCCTTTAGTTTTATTGTTTTTACTACATAACTATTAGAACCTTTTTGTGTCCACAAATTCCGAAATTTGGGGTGAAATATAATTTTGGTTTCATATAAGTATTTCACATTCATAATTTAATACCAAAATACAGAATGACTATTTTCTTGCAATTTAATAATTTAATTTAATAAATACAGAATTACTATTTTCTTACAACATGATGCAATTATAATTTTGGTTTCGTATAATTACTGATTATTTTTAATTCAATACAGAAATACGGAATGTTTATTATTGCAATATGATGCAATTTTCCTAAAATCTTTTAGTAACTTTTTGTTTTTCACAAGTAGAATTAAAATTAGGATTTATGAACATTCCATTTCTGTTCCCAATTCCGATTCAATTTCAGCCTAGGTCAACACCATCTTCATACAGATCACAAATATAAATTCATTTTAATTTTGGAGATAATATATTAAAACCAATTGGATATAAAACTTGAAAGAACTACACCCAAATCTCTTTCGACATGAGCGAAGGGCCTAGAATAATAATGTAGGTAATGCTATACAGGTTGCTTTTAGAAAGCTGTACCTTTGGAATTTTTTTTTGATGAATCAATATATTCTTATTTTGATAAATAGTGAGCATGTACAGTAACTGGATGAAAGCTGCTTAAAACAGTGACATATGGAAAGGGCTGAAGGAGACCTACGTGTAGCAGTGGACGCGTACAGGTTGATAATCATGATGATATCAGAGAGAAGATTGGTGCCAAAACATTTCCTTGTGGTATCTGAAGTCTAATTTACCCCAGTTCCTGATAAGAATCTTCGTGTTTTATACGATATATTTGTTACTTAAGTAAGATCTTAAACGTGCATAAAGATCAAGGAATTGACAAAGGAAGTGACAGATTGTCACTTAGTATGCTAGTAATTTCTACTTCGGATCGATCTCACAATACAAATTACACATCCAAATCAACTTAAATTATGGTTAATTTTCATTAAAAATAATATTACTTATTGTTCTACTTTGTACTGATTTTATTACTGCGTCATACCTAATTTAAAATTTATTTTTGTACGAGATTAAGCCACAATAATTATTGATTAAATTGAAAATCACATTTTTAATTAGCAAATGTTTAACGTAAAGAAAACAATAAAACACCACAAGCAATCCACAGACACTCACAAGAAGGACTCAAAGATGACAACAGTACCATATGAATAACTGAAGAGGATAGAAAACAAGTACATACGTCACAATATCTTTCATCAAAACAACCAATATACTGAGGTCCATCCTATCCAAAACCAAACCCAACAAAACACAAGAAAGATAAAAAAAAACTGCATCTATAAAGTACACTCACCGGCACGAAAAACGGAGCACTTGCATTTTTTAAATAAAAACTTAAAATTTTAATTCCCTTTAAACTTTTATTATTATAATAACGTAAACACAAACGAAACAAACCTTTTAAAGTAATTTCTAATCAAACTTAAGTGCTTACCAAAAAAATGCACTAAAAATCAGAAAGAAAGAATACACTACGTTTATCACTTTTAAAAGTGCAAAGGTAACTGTTAGTATTCTATTGTTATTCTTATGTTTTTGTTGATGTGAGAAAACTGTCACGTCAAATCAAGTGTCAAACACAATTTAAAGTTGAATTGCGTTGATTTAATCTTAAGATTTATGGTTGTAAATCCCGAAACAGTGGCTGCTATTGTTGCATTGATTTAAGACGGAAAAAGTGAGCGATATGTTGCTCAAAAGTATGAAATATAAAATGGTACTGTGCACCGTATTTTAACATGTTTCTTTGCAACCAGAGCTTACACTAGACATCCTGGAACCGGTCTTCAAGGAAGAACTAGTGTCCGTGATGATCACTTCATCCTCTTACAAACTCTACGAGATAGTCCTACCACTGCTATACAAATCCGAAATCAACTTCAGTTCATCCGGTTAACTAACATAAGTGAACGAACAATTAGACGAAGGCTTGAAGAAGCAAATTTAAGCAGTCACAGACCTGCAACAGGCTTACAACTTCTCAGAGTCTCAGCGTCATGGAGTTGCTAGGCTTCAGTTTGCCAGAAACCATGCTCATTTTACTGTAAATAATTGGAGGCACGTTTTATTTATCGATGAGTCCAGGTTTACCTTGCAGTCTTTAGATAGCCGTGAGTGAGTATAGCGAAAACCAAATGAGCTTTTTGCAGAATATACGTTAAGTCCTAACGTAGCCTATCAAGAGGGCTTAATTATGGTGTGGGCTGGAATGTCTGTAGAGGCACGTACATATTTGTACATCGTCCTGTACAATAGGCTCCATAACAGCTGCCAGGTACATTGATTAAATTCTCCAAGATTTTATTGTGCCTTATGCTGGTTTCATTGGAAATGACTTTGTTCTGATGCATGATAATGCCAAACCTCACAATACGAGAATCACTCAACAGTTTTTAAATGAAGTAAACATTCCTGTAATGGATTGCCCAGCATTGAATCCAGACGCAAACCCAATCGAACATGTTTGGAACAAGCTTGGGCGAAGGATACGAAGTCGTGTTCCTGCCTCTTTAACCTTAAATCAGTTACAAGAAGCCCTTTTAGATGAATGGGAACTTGTTCCTCAACAGGACATTTATAATTTGATTTTAGGCACGCCAATGAGAATTCAGGCAATAATTACAGCACGTGGAGGAAACATATATTATTAAAATCAGTTTATCCCAACACATGATTTAAGTTTTCATTAAATGGGCGTCATTTTGTTACAACATTTACTTACATTTTTTTCCCTTAAATTTTAAATTCTTATCTACTGAAACAGTTCTTTGTTCAACAAATTTTTTATTACAAATTACTTAAAACAGTATGTTTCGTTTGTGTTTATGTAATTATAACAGTAAAAGTTTAAAGAGAATTAAAATTTTAAGTTTTCATTTCAAAAATGCAAGTGCTCCGTTTTTCATGCCGGTGAGTGTACCTTGTTAATGCAACCATTTCTACGTGGGAGAAACCTTCTTCTTTTTTAAGTTCCATTTTCTATCGAAGATTGATGAAGGGAAATCATCATGGCTATGCGGACTCTGTTGACTACTGCTCTAAATAGTTCTGCACTACTGCATTCAAACCAATCCCTGAAGTTTTTAAACCACGATATTCTTCGTGTTCACACATTTCGCTTTCCTCGAATTTTGCCTTGAATAATAAGCTGCAATAATGAGTATCTTTGCCCTCTTATAACATTACCGAAGTACTCAAGTTTTCTTCTACGGAGAAACCTTCTTCTTTTGGTGCCTATCTTCTGTGGATGTTGGCAATCACGTTGGTCCATACAACTTTGTTGACAGCTGCTCTAAATAGATGTATGGTAGTCATTCCTGTCCACTGTCTGATGTTCTTCAAACACGATATCCTTCTGCGCCTTTGAGATATTTTGCCTTCTATCTTGCCTTGTAAAATTAGTTGAATTAGTTGATACTTCTCATTGCACATCACATGCTCTATATATATGTCATCTTTCTGATTTTCACGATACACAATAATTTCCAAATCTTTATTCATACGTTGGATCACCGTGTTGTTTGTAATATGATGGATATAGAAAATTCTGAGCATGCGGCGGTAGCACCACATTTCGAAGGCTTCTAATCGTTTGGATGTTTCCTTCGTCAAGGTCCATGCTTCGACTCCATATAAAACGATAGAAAATACATAGCATTTCAAGACTCGTGTTCTTATATCAATGTTCAGGTGCATATTACATAAAATCTTCCTGAGCCGATTGAAGACAGCTCTCGTCTTTTCTAGACGACATCTTATTTCTTGTGAGTGGTCTCATTCCTTATTTAGGCTGTATCCAAGATATGTAATTTTGTCGACTATTTTCAAGGGTTCAATATTAGCGCACGGTGAAACCCCATGACCCCTAAGTATCAGGATAAATTAGCATGAAACATACATCAGGAACATATATGTAAACATGCTTGGGACAACGAGCCTAGACCACAATGGAAAGATGCATCAATAATCATGAAAGAAACAGACATTAAAAAGAGAAAAGTTAAAGGAGCAGCCCTCATCTTACTTAACAAAGAAAAATCTGTAGCAAACTCATCAGCAGAATACAGCAGGCATCTGCTGAGGCCAAAAAATATTATCTACAATCTTACACACAACATACATGCAACACACAATACAAATAAACACAAAATTTTTACTCAATTTACGCAGTCAACCACAATTACCATACAGTTTTTTACACAAACATATAATACAAAATAAACAAAAATAGTCAGAATTTGATATTTCTAGGGTAAGAACATCACCCTCAGATTTTGTACAGCCTTTACAGGCTGTTTGCCGCATATATTATAAGATGGACATCCAGCAAGATAATTTTGAAATGACATAATCAATAACAAAACTTTACAACCAATAAGTATTTGTGGCTTAATCCCATACAAACATAAAATTTAAATGATCCATGAAATTCTTAAATAAGAAGAATCAGAATAATTCCACAATAAACCAAATTTGCACCATTTGCATTTTAAGTGCACCACGGGCACTTAAAAGTCTTTAAAACTGAAGAGAACTAATAGAAAAATTGCCAACCTAATATATCTAATACAGAAAACGAAAAAAATAACAGCAAAAGCAATCCTTTTTTTGTGTTTAATGCAAAAGTGCAAAAAAGTAGCCGTAATGTATATAAAGAATACGCGAAATAAGGTAGATTGAGTATCCGTTATAAAATAAAAACAAACTAAACCAAACTAGACTAAACTAAAGCAAAAGTTCTATTACAATATTTATAATTTAATTGGCAGATTCAAATCTAGTTTAACTTACCTCGAAAACTCAAAATAGTCTCCGGGATCCTTAACGCTATCGGGTGTTTGTATTATTTCTATCTCAGGATTAGAAATATCCACGTTAATGCTGATTCCCTGCTTGTCGCTTCCCTCTGAGCTTATATCGGACATATCCAGGCGATCTCTGTCATCGTAGTTTAAGAAAGGATTAGTACTCTTAAACTCCACAACGGAATGCCTCTCGATGCCAAAGTCGTTGGAATCATTCGACGTTAAACTTTCCAAACTATATCTCTTGTTGTAGTGCTTTAAAGGTGTACCTGAAACAAAATTTATTTTTATGTTCGAACTGAGTCATTAGAAAAGGAAATGTTTATATTATGACGATATTACTAATAATATGAAATCTACTTTATGTTAGCACGTTATGAATTATTTACTATATATATATATATATATATATATATATATATATATATACTATTACAGAAATTAATATTAGACTCAACAGTCTTCCGACTTGAACTGCGTCGATTATTATTATATTATCAATAAACTCTAAAATCTCATTAATACTCCTAACTACAAACCAATTTTTAATAATCCAACAACCTATCTGGAGAAAACAACAAAAGCCATTATCAATAAAACCTATCTTTCAGATGACATAAAACAATCGCTGATTCCTCGTGAAAAGTTTTTCAGAACACCTCGAATATATGGCCTACCCAAAATTCACAAATCCGATATTCCTCTACGTTCCATTGTTAGTGCATACAACTGACCTACACAACCATTGGATAAGTACTTGGCCTCTCGCTGAAAATTCTTCAACCTTTGACAACAATTCTTTTCCATTTTAACGATGTTCTTAAACAATACCCTATCTCACAGTTAGACATTCTAGTAAGTTTCGATATCGTTTACTCTTTACTCCTATAGACGAAACTCTAAATATTCTGAAAACTAAATACAGTATCCAGCAAGACTACTTATCTCTCAATAAACATTGTATGTCCAACACTTATTTTATCTTCCAAAATCAATTCTACAGACAAATAAATGGTGCCCCAATGGGCTCTCCACTATCTCCAGTAATTGCCAATATCTTTATGAGACTTCAAGATCCTATCACTATCTTGATGTGGACCCATCACTATGTGGAGCACTATTCACATCAATGCTCAAACCCACATGTTGGATACGATATGTTGACGATACATTAGTGATTTGGCCCCATGGCAGAGATGCTTTGGTGCCTTTTTAATGGTATACATCATAGTATCCATTTCATGGTGGAGATGGAAACTGATTTATCCCTACCGTTTCTCGACGTTTATAAAGAAAACCAATCCTAAGGTTTTCATCACTCTGCTTTTCGAAAACCCACCCATTACCAATCGTTACTTGCATGCTAACTCTCATCATCTCCTTAACAAATTAATTCAGTCATTAATACGCTTGTCTCCAGATCAATACGCCTTTGCGATGATGCAAGTAGACCTGCTGAGCTCTCTAGTTTAAAAAAAGCCCTCATCCAAAACGGTTACTGCAAAAATCATATCAATAGGAGCATCGACAGGCATCAATCTCCCACCCAATCTCAACACAAACACTCAGACCCTTATGATACGAAATCTTTTTTTTCTTACATCAAAGGTGTCACTGACAAAATTGACAAAATTCAAAAATCAAGAGGAATGAAGACAATATTTACCTCCCAACAGAAATGTTCATCTCTTGCCCGATCAATTAAAGACATTCCAAATGAACAACACGGAGTTTATGAAATTTCTTGTGCAGCCTGCCCCCGATCCTGTATAGGCCAAACAAATCGTAGAATCCATAGAATAAAAAATAGGATTTATGAACATTCCATTTCTGTTCGCAACTCCGACTCAATTTCAGCTCTAAGTCAACACCATCTTCATACAGGTCACAAAATTGAAAGGTCAGAAATGTTTGCGCTAAACCAGATCCAATCCACGCTGACAGGTTACATTCTGGTTTAAATGAGGTAGTAATGCACAAAATATGACGATGAATCCTGTTAGCGTCACTAGTGTCTCCTACTCACTTGTTCACCGTGGTCACCCCCACGGACCAGATCGAGATAGCACAAGAATTGAGTAGAATCGAGAAACCACAAACCGTCTATCAGTCCCTTTATATTCAGTCAAGATGTTTGCACAATTACTTCAAAAATAATCAGATTTTTAAACTCGTCGAGATCTATGTTAAATTTTTGTTAGCTATATTTCAGATCGAGTAGGTATTTATATTACAGTAAATAAATTCCTTCTGTGAATTGTACACTGCACGTTTCTGATTTACAACCTCTGGCTCTTTAGTGTGCTGTCAACCATTAAGAAATAAAATATAGATAGGTTACTCTTTATACAATGTGTTAATTTTAAAACTTACAATGGGTTATATCTCACGAACAAAAGCTGATATCAAAAAATGCTTAAAACAGTTTCTAGGATAGTAAGGTGGAACTAAAATGACATGAAAGAGAACTTGCCCCCATCAACCCCCTAGACCCCACCAACCAAAATCAAAAAAGTTTAAATTTCAAACCCCTAATTGTGATACATCATTAAAAAGAATATAAAAAATGCTATCCAATGGTATAAATAATAATTCTACAGGGTGAATATCAATAATTGTGAAACTTTGGCTTAGATGGCAAATTTAATGAGTTTTTTGTTGATTCTCTTGATGATCCTGTATAATTATTGTTTAATGATTATACAGGGTGTTAATATCAGCCGGCTTACTATTACTTTTGTATTAGTAATGCTATCTCCCGGACCATTATTTTTAAAGTGCCGGTCGGAATTTTTTTTTGTTAAAAAAATCCTAATTTGCGGTTTTTGCAAAACAAATTGAAAACATCTAATTTTTTGGGTTCTGTCTGATTCAAAAATGTTTGGTTAATTTGAGAATTTTACTGAGATGTTAATTTGAGAATGGTACTGTCATTTAGCTGTAGTTGTTACGATGCGCCATGGTTTAGAGTATACCTGAACGCGTGGAGATCATTTTCATATTTGCCTCCTAGGACCAGTGTTATTTACTAACAGCTTAAATATTTCATGTAAGCCATCTGGACAAAAATGTAAGTCACGTGTACGTCCACGATTTAGTTGAAAAGTTTAGAGAAACGGGATTAGTGCAAAATAAAAAAGGAATGGCCCAAGTTTACTGAATGAGGCATTCCAAATTGTGGTCCTTGGAAATTTTGCAATACAGTCTACTGCATCAACACGTCAAGTATCTGCAATGACAGGATTTTCACATGAGTTGGTTAGAAAGTTGTTGAAATTACATACGTTTCACCCGTATAAAGCACAAATTCTAAGAGTTAGGCGATGATGATCCAGACGGACGAATTGAGTTATGTGAACTCATGACTGAAAGAATTCGTGTTAAACCGAGAATATTAAAAAATATTTGTTTCACTGATGAATGTACTTATGTTGAATGGTAATATAAATAAACAAAACTGTCGGTACTGGAGTGATGCCAACTCGCATCGATTCAGAGAAGGTCATACGCAATATCCTGAAAAACTGAATGTTTGGGCAGGAATATTAGGCGATGCTATAATTGGCCCGTTGTTCATATCAGGCAAATTAGGTGACGACATTTATCTCGATATGTTGGAAACACCATCGAACCTTTAATTGTGCACAATCATGCACAATTAAATAAATAAAAGGGACGAAAAAGGCAACCTAGCTCTAGAAGAAGAGTTGCTGCACTTTCGACAAGATGGATCACCTCCTTACTATGCAGCTCCAGTTAGGCACTGGTTGGATACTAATTATCCGATCAAATGTATTGGAAGGAGGGGTACTATTAAGTGGCCACCGAGGTTACCAGACTTACCGCCACCTGACTTTTTTCTATGGGGTTACTTCAAGTCAGTTGTTTATAAAACTCAACCTGCGTCACTTGGAAAATTGCGAGAAAGAATTACGCAAGTATATTGCGCTAGGACTAGAACAACATTTGCCAAAGTTCGTGCAAAATTTGAAAATAGGCTATATTATTGTTTACAAGACAATGGATCGCTTTTTATACATTAACTTAATTGACATTTTTAACACATCTGTAATTCAACAAAAACCTCATTAAATTTTCCATTTAAGCCAAAGTTTCACAATTATTGCTTCACCCTGTATAATTACTATTTATATCATTGGGTAGCATTTTTTATAGTCTTTTCAATGACGTATCACATATAGGGGTTTGCAATTTAAACTTTTTTGGTTGTGGTGGGCGGGGTCTAGGGGGTTGATGGGGTGAGTTTTCTTTCATGTCATTTTAATTCCCCCTTACTATCCTAGAAACGGTTTCACGAATTTTTCGATATCAGCTTCTGTTCGTGAGATATAGCCCATTGTAAGTTTTAAAATTGACACACTGTATATTTTGAGACAGTCTGTATCTCTGCACCGTGTGCTTGCTCGGAAGCAATTTCTTTATCACAGTAATATAAATAGGTTTTAGTTAATATATTATTGATTTAAAGAAACTCAAACTGTAATAAATTGTCATAGCTATATCAAAAATTGACGGGGGAGGAAATCATTTAGTAGGTATTTGCAATACAAAGGAGAATGAACTATGAGTATGTTTTAAACTGTTATCATTATAAATTACTATCAAAACGTGAACAATTAACACACTTTTTGTTGATAAGAAGTTACTTTCATACTTCTTAAGGATGAACGAGTTTTTAACTACTAAACAATAAGACAAAAACTTCAACATATTCTTTGTTTTATGTTTGTCATCTTAATTATTAAAAAGTGAAGATAACTTTGTAGTACACATACAATAAGAGGTCGCATAGATTTTTAAAAAAGAACCAGTAAGATTTTTAATTTTTCAAGGTTAACGTTGTTGAATTTATTTTAAACGTTAAGGCAGCTGAACTGCCTAATGTGTATAATACCACACTAAAAGTAAGCCAGTAAGGACAAAAAAACTGAAAAAATCTTTACAGCTTTTTGAATGTTCTGAAAGGTATATTAGGGATGCTGACAAATCCTTGAAGACGTACAGCTGATTTTACTGGTTTTTTAAACAATCATAAAAAGTAGAAAAATCATTTTTTGTTTATAAAACGTTTCTTATATACAGGGTGGTCCTTAAGTAATTGTACAAAAAGAAACCGTAGATTCTACACTTCAAAATATTACGATTTAAGCCAAATTGCTTTAATTAATAGTTGATATTAAGAAAGATACAGGGTGTTAAAGTAGAAATTTAAAATTTTAATTTTCGCTATAACTTTTATGTTTGTGAACATTTATGTATAACAATTCATAACTTGGTACTATTGAACATCCGGAATTATAACTTGATGCATACTTTAATGTAGCTGATAGAGGGCGCCACATATGCCACATATGTGGCATACATTTGCACTTAACTTTTTTGCTCCTTATGTTACCGCTGTTTGTGTTAAAAAAATATTAAAGATACATTATTTTAACAAAAAAAAAGGTATACTTGTTAATAACTTCGAAACTCAACAGTTTTCGAGATAATCGCATTTTACAAACAACTACATAATTCAGATTTAACGCAATTACTTCAAGGCAACGAAAGAAAATTAGTCAAAAACATCAATACTTCTGAGTTTTGTTATAAAATGCCTTTAATAAAGGTAATAGTTAACGAAATATTAAATAAAATAAATTTATCAGCAGGATAGTTAATAGTAGGATTTCAGAAAATAACAGAATAATTGAATTTTACATCAAACATTTTACGTTTTGTAGTTTGTAGTTTTGTAATTAAAGTCATAATCAAAATAATTTATTTATAAACCAAATTAAGAAATAGTTCAACTAAATAACATTAAACTTTTTGTCAAAGTAAGTGTTCGATATGTCCACCATTTGCTTTAATTCATTTGTCAATATATTCCATAAAAGATCGTCTCATATGAAATAGCATCATTGGTTCTAAAGAAACTGCTGCAGTATTTATAATAAGTATTATAAGTATAATGCATAATAAATATAATATAATATTGAAGTATTCATGAGGGATTTTTATGAATTAAATAATTATATTAATATCTCACCACATGACCAAGGCATATGACTCACTGCTCTCTCTATATAATGTGGTGGTGTAGCATCTTTTATAGCAATAAAATAATTTTATAAAAAATGTAAATAAATCTCACCATTCAAATTATAAGGTAATCCGCATGTCCGTAAAAAATAATTACAAATGGTGCCAAACCATACGATATGTATTTTAAATAAACATATGGTTTGGAACCATTATTAATTATTTTTTACGGACATGCGAATTTCCTCATAATTTTAATGGTAAGATTTATTTTAGATTTTTTATAAAATGATTTTATTGATTTATTGGAAGAATTCTCATCAAACTTAGGGCGAAATATGTGGTTTTTGCAAAATGGTACACCACCACATTATACAGAGAGGGCAGTGAGAACATACTTAAATACAACTTTCCTGAACGTTGGATTGTTCGTGGTACTAATATTCCTTGGTCATGTGGTGAGATATTAATATAATTACTTAATGCCTAAAAATCCCAAAAGAATACTTATTATTATACTTATAATACTTATACTAAATACTGCAACAGTTTGTTTAGCATCAATGATGCTATTTAATATGAGGATTTATTTTGACAAAAAGGTTAATGTTATTTAGTTTAAATATTTCTTAATTGCTTTTGTAAATAAAATATTTTGATTGTGACTTTAATTTAATACAAAGCGTAAAATGTTTGATGTAAAATCCAATTATTCTGTTATTTTGTCAAATTCCACGTTAATGTTTTTGTTTAATTTTCTTTCGTTGCCTAAAGTAATTGTCGGGCTAATGATTACGATAATGTCGATTACTTATATTTTGTTTTTTTTGTTAATATTTCTGTTCATATTTAAGTAAAATTTTATGTAAAATAAATTTCATATGTTTATATTTTACTTGTACAAAAATTATGGTTTTTAAATATTTCATAGAAAAAGAATAATACCTTATATCACTCTTTAGTGAACATAATAAGTAATATTATTACTCGTACGAATGACGCCATTAGCTCGTTGCGGTTGTTCGTAGTTCAGTAAATTCATAATGTGATATAGTCAATTTATTTTTATTAGTGAATTATTCCCCGCAGACTTATATATAGTTTTTCTCGTATGTGTGTACTTAGAACTTACCAATTAAGTTGGTGTTTTTCGTGATAGAAGAATTCGGTATCCACGTCAAGAAAAGCGTAGGCCTTCGAGTATCATTATATTGATCAATGAAAACCTTTGTAGTTATGGTTAGATAACCGGGATTATGCAGATCATTGTCATGTCTCGCTGTTGCAGGAGGATGAACGCAGATGTTGTTCTTACAAAAGAGAATCTCATTGTCCTCATATTCTGGAGTTTTTAAAGTATCCTCTTCAGGACCAAGAATGTAGGTCGATGCCCGTCGAATAATGTCCGTTAGAGGCATTATCGATTTATTTGATCTCTACCTGAAACAAAATAACAAAAATGTACAAATATTATTGATAAGCCAATATAAAAATGTAAACTTATTTTATTAGTGTACATTTGATAAGGTACAAAGTTTTTAGTAAAGACATTTTTTAGAATTTATTATCAATGATCTTAACGAATGAAATTTTTGAATATACCAGATTAGTAGTAAACGAAATAAATATTTATGTCAAATTTATTTATATTGACAATACATTGTCAATATAAATAAAAGTTATACTTAAATGGAATAAAATGTACCCTATGTAAAAGGGTGTTCCTACAGTTCCCTGGAATATTATTATAGGAGAATCATTATTTGCGATTGTGTGATAGTTATGTCTGTTGCGCACAGTTCCTGTAGCGATACGATTGAGGAAATAATATGAAATAATTATTCATAGATGTTAACGTTGCGGGTAAAATATGTAGTGGAAAATCTTCATTCAGTTAATCAAATCAAATTAAAACCATTACACTTTGACAAGAAATTGGTGAGGGTGACTAATAAATGTAATATGATATTCTAACTGTACGAGGTGTAAATGAAATATGCCGCTTAATTATTGTCATTAGTTCTGCTTGTATAGTCTGCACATCCGGTTGTAATTTTTTATCAGTCATCGTTGGAATGCGTTCAATAAAACGGCTGTGATAAGATGCATTATCCACTACTATGACACAGTTACTCTTTACACGCTGGAGAATGTTCTCGAACCACTTCTCGAAGCATATTATTATGAAGTTTATGATCAACCAGCAATACGTTTTATCGTGTTGACAGAAACATCATAATGCTTTGGCTACTCTTTCCGAATAATTGTTCAGAAGGATATTTAGGGCTTTCTGTTTTTTTTTCCTTCTTCTTCTTCGTAAGTTAGTATACACTGTATATCATTTATCAACCTGAATATGAATTATTTGTTTGGAACCAGTCGTATATTCAGGGTTTTTCAGAGGAACTCAATCAAGACCTTAAAAAGGAAGACTTGGTGTTAAACAATCGAAAGGTCAAGGAGGAAGTACAAATTCTAGTCTACACGATCGACAAGATCTCCTATCTATGAGTCTGATATCATTCGTATTAAAAATGTAAAGATGGTGTAATAGGTGGAAATTCAGATTCATCAGAGACAGTATGCGTATCAAGCAAGACTTTCTATTTAAACGGCTCTGTAGTATCTCGCACAGAGAGTGGAGTATGTTCCGGAAAACCAAGGGGTGATGTTGGGTGCATTTCTCCATTTAGATGGAGCATTAAACAACAACTCATATATAGCAATCATATATATGCAATGTTACTGGGAGGAGTCCTCTCTCCTCTCTTGTGGAATCTGGTTATTGATGAGCTTATGGAAATTGAGAATAAAATAAAAAATGTATTTTCCTATTGAAATTAGTTCTTGACTAGATAGATAGACTAGTAGAAATATTTTCTGATGTGCAAACGACACAATTATATTCGAAGATAGCATGCAAAGTCTACAGCCACTAGTTACTAATGTAACAGAAATTAGTCAAGAATACTGCCTCAACTTTAATACTAAAAAAAACAAAGTTTATGATTATAAGTAAAAACAGTATACTGTCACAACAATTAATAATCAATTTACAGGCAACAGCACATGTTAAAAGTTACGTTTATTTCATTGAGTTAGCATCTATGGAGAGATTATCACGTGACTAAAAACGACCTCACTTCGGCCATATTGGTATGGTCGTTTTAACAGATCGTGTATGATTGTTTACGTTTGTTGTTTTTCGAATATTTTTAGTTTTATAATACTTTTATAGAAACTGTAATATTAGGTATATTGTGATAGTGCATAATAATGGTTTGTTTTTCTCAACGTAATTACAGCAACAGAAGCAATGTTAATAAAATATTTTTAGGAATATCGTTCCACAGGTTAGTATACAAATGTGTAAACAAATTAATGGCCCGTACTTCAGAGAATAAATTAATAGTATTTATAAAAAATCTTATAACTGGTATACGATAATGTAGGTACTGTTATTTCATACCGTATATTCATTTTACCCTTTAAAATATTATTTATATTATTATCTCTTTCAGATATAACTTGTTATTTGACTAAATTAATTTATCTTTACGTATAATATATCGTGTTTTTAGTGTTTACCGCCTTTATTGAGTCTGGCCCTGATCCCACCGCCATATTGGTATGATCGTTAGGCACACCCACCTACGCCATTTTTAATACACAGGGTAATATGCTTATAGCTTCTCCATAGATTCTAACTCGATGTTTTATTTGGACACCAAGATAAAGGATTGGTTGGATCTTTCAAGTGAAATTAATTAACACATATAGACGGCTAAAGTAGCGTTTATTAGAACAAGCAAAATTTTCAAGGTCCATTATTTTTCAATAAAACTCAACATTATACCCGACAATGTGAAGGTTGAAAAGGTTCTGAACCTGCTTCCTTGTGGCATGTATACTTAAGATAATATTTTATATGCGATAAAACCACAATTCATTGTATTGAGAATTACATTCTACATTAACTTTGACGTTTCGAATTCCAAGCCGGAAACCGTTTTCAAAAAATTCTCAGAAATTCATTAATTTCGGAATTTTTTGAAAACAATTTTCAGTTCGGAAATCGCAATTTCACAGCAAGTTTTAATTAAAATTTTCATTACAATCGATTGTGGTATAATTCAACGTAAAATAATATATAAAATGAACTCTTTTGAGTCCTATTTACAATTATTTTAAATTGCAGTATTGATTTATGAGCTAAAAGAAATCAAATTCTTAGTGTCGAAAGATGCATCTTGAAAATAGCAGACAATATGAGGTACGACTTCTCATCAGGAGAACTCCACAATAAAGCCAACATCCCTAATGATAATCAAGAGAATGAACTCTCAGAACAGTAGTTTCACAGTGTAATCATTCAGAGGCAAAATACCAGAGCCCAAAAATCTTGTGACATACGTCTGCATCTTTCGAAAACGTTCTAGTCCACTAGCCCATAAGAGAAAAAATCTTCACCTTCTATGCACTCTGCAAGTTTTAGTGATGAAGTCCTGAACGAGTAGGAAATTCACCTTTAAGCTACCTCTCTAAGGAAGCATACATTCCTAACTCCTAATTCTTTTCCTAGAATAGTTTGGTTTTTTGCGGTTTCCCAATCTTACTGCACAGTGAAATCTGTCCTTCTTCTGAAGTGATGGAACTACATGTCGAAACTCCTCATAGAATTTATAAATTTTAAAACAACTAAAAGCACCGTTTCGACACTAACTACATATTATCAGAATTCAACTGACGACTTGCGTGCTATTATACAACAATATAAGTTATCTAGTCTTGTCTAACTACCTAGTATCATTACAATATTAAAATTAACCATTATTTTCATGAAATATGAGGGTTTTTACATATGTTTTCCTAGCTAGTTTGAACTACTTTAAATGTTTTTACACTGATGATGGTCCGACAGGACAGAAAACGTTTTGAAAATTTGTAATATTTTTAGATAAATTTTAAATTATGGTATACAGCGGACCACTGGGATTTTCTCCTTTTACTTTATAAAACATAATTATTCTAAAAGAACCTTAAAGAAAAAGTTCTAAAAATAACTTTTTCTTTTTCTTTTTTTCTCTTTATAAGCAATTCTTTGTTCATTGGCGGGTTAATACCTATATGGAAGGTTGTCACTCCATCTTATGTGGTCGTCCGATACTTCTGCCGATTGGTGACGACATTTTAAAGACATGGGTCTCCTCCATTCTGCTTATGTGATTATTCCATTTTATTTTCTATTTTGTGTCCATTTATTTATACACTGTACGTTACATTTTGTTCTAATGTCTTCACTTTTCTTTCTGGGTCTTGTTTCTGAGGCATATGTCATTGTTGGTCTTACACTGACCAACTTTATGAATTCTTGACTTCATCTCAGTGTTAACGTGTCTGTTTCGCCATATAATGTTATTAAGGCATCCTGTCAGTCTTTTTGCTTTTTGTACTTGATCTCTCACTTCTTTGTCCACTAGACAGTGTAAAAACAACTTAAATATCTAATTAGGTAAAAAAATTTAATGAATTAAAGGTTAAAATAATCTACCTTGTTGTGCCAAACAAACACTAGCTGCATTTATACAACAAAGGTACTTTTGTTGATACTCAGTTCATTTGGCGTAATCTTGGCACAATGCTGGACAATTTTCTACCTAAACTCCATTAAATTTTCGGCACGTTCAAAATTGTACCGATAAATATTTGATTTAAGTAAGCCGCACAAAAAATAAATTATTTGGGGACACATCTGCTTATCTGGGAGGCTACTTGATTATACCGCATACAATTAAGCAGTTGGAAAATGTTTTTTGGAAAAATGTGTAACTGCCCCGGTATTAGGACTGGTACATCCGTCATGTTGGTACCAAATATCTCCAAAATTCATAGGAAGTTGCTGAAGTACTTGAAAAATTCTAGAATATATTTAATCTGCAGACCTTCTTTTATCTATGTGTTTCTTAGCTTGTATTTTTTATTTGCACATCTAATTCTTCCAAGGTACAACATTTCGCCGCCACGAATTTTCTTTATCTTTCAGTAAGGACATACCCATGATTCGCAACCCAAAGTTATAATCTATCTATCTATCTATACAGCCCTTGCTGCCCAATTTTGAACATAGGCCTACTCTTCCTTCTTCCATGTCTCTCTATTGTAGGCAGTTTGTATCCACTTCGGACCTGCGTGTTTCTTTAAGTCATCTGACGATCTCATTTGTGGTCTTCCTCTTTTTCGTTTGTAACTATATGGTCTCCATTTTATAATCATCTTATTCCATCTGTCGTCTTTCTGTCTTATGGTATGTCCAGCGAACTTCGATTTAAGTTTTGCTGTCTGCGTTGATACATCGGTCACTTTTTTTTTGTTGCGGATCTAAATATTTCTTTTCTTGTCTGATAGTCTGATGTTCAGCATTTGCATTTCCATATCTCTTT